ATTGTACACAGGTAAGTTGGGAAACTAGGGATCGAGCCCTGGGATCTGTCTCAGCTACCACAAATTGGTGAATACCGTTTCAGTGGGCTACCCGTGCCCTATTCTTGGGCCATTCTTGGACTATTACTGCTGGGCTATTCTTCTTGGGCTATTCCTGGTGAGCCATTCTTCTTGGACTGTTCTTCTTGGGCTATTGTTGTGCTATTCTTGCACTATTCCTTTCGGGTATTCTTCTTGGACTATTCTTCTTGGGCTATTCCTGGTGAGCTATTCTTCTTGGGCTATTCTTGTGCTATTCTTGCACTATTCCTGATTGTGAGCCATTCGTCTTGGACTGTTCTTCTTGGGCTATTCTTGGGCTATTCTTGCACTATTCCTTCCGGGCTATTCTTCTTGGACTATTCTTCTTGCGTTATTCCTGGTGAGCTATTCTTCTTTGGGTATTCTTGTGCTATTCTTGCACCAGTCCTGCTTGGCTATTCTTGGCCCATACTTGGGCTATTCTTGGTCTAACCTTTGTCTATTTTTCGGCTTATTTTTGGGCTATTCTTGGGGCATTCCAGTTGCTTTTGATTATCAGCACCCATCTCATGGTAAGATCACAGCTGTTGCCCGGAGGCTTGCTAAGCTTCAGGTAATGAAGCGCCTTCTCGTCAGCGCTTATGTTTATCAGGAAGAATGCATGGAAAAGCAACCCATACTGATCTGAAGCAATACTTGATGCCGTTTGCCAAAGTCATATTCTGAAGCATTTCACAAAAGGAAGAGAGGTGCAATTACGTCGCCATCCCAGTTTTAACATGTTCCAGAATCACAAAGCACTCACCATCTTCACTGTCGTCTGGACCACTGCTGCCTCCCCCGGGGATGCGCACATTAAGCAATGGCTGTTCCACGCCAACACACGATAAACCATTCTGTAAGTAGATCGAGCTCCTGACAAATGCATTGTAGTTTCTCGAAAGTTCTGACACGTAATAACTAATAAGCGCAGACAGAGGTACGAGATGCACACAAGTAAATACAAACAATATACAGTTATTCAAAACTGCGCAGTGGGTGAACCGCCACAAAACGAGGGATGGTCTGTCAGAGGCAGAAAATACTCCACACATGTCGCTGGCACTAGGGCCGCAGCATAGGCAGATATGGAGAAGAGGACAACAAACGAGGGTCTGTGACAAATTGTTTATATATATACCGTCACAAATATATATATATATATATATCGTCACAAATAGAGCTGCCCGGTAAACCGTGGGCAGAGAGAGAGAAGAGGACAACAAACGAGGGGCTGTGACAAACTGTTTCGTCGGAGTTTCACCGACTCATCAGGAGGCTGAACCCTATATGAAACTCCGACGAAACAGTTTGTCACAGCCCCTCGTTTGTTGTCCTCTTCTCCCTCTCTGCCTACGGTTTACCGGGCAGTTCTATTTGACGATAGGGCAGATTGAAACCATTAAATTTCTCATTC